GCTGCCGAGGGAGAAGCCGTAGGGTGAGGCAAGAAGGGGTCCAGGCCTGAGCCTCAAGCACTACTGGAAGGCTGCTAAGCAGAGAAGGATAAATCAGCAAAGGAGAATATGCAGGAACCTCCAGAGAGATCATGGAAAAAGGTGACTCTATGGCCTGGGGGACGCCGGGACTATAAGATCAGATCTCCCAAAGTCTGACTGCGCTCAAGCGACCACAGATTTGTTTGTGGCCCTCACTGGGTTTGGTCTTGGCAGGGAGAATGATCACTAAAGACACTCATGTTAACTAACTCACGAGACCCCGATATATTTTTTAGAATGCCAGTTTATTTATTTACAGTGAGAATATAACCAACCAGCAGGCTGCCATACACTGCTACTGGTATATGTCTATTTACCTTCCTTTCCTGAAGATAAATGCACAAGGAATGACTCATCTCAGAAAGTCGATGGATGAGCATGAAATCGGAAATTAAGAAGTCAATGACCTGGCATTTTGGCAACCAATGACATGGCACATATCTGGCAGGGTCCTAGTAGGAAAGACAAATCAACACAGATGTTGAGGCTTTTCTGAAAGGACCACTTACAGAGGGGAGAACAGAGATAAGGGGACCACCAAGGGACAGTGAGGCACCCAGGGACTAGCAACAGCCCTACAGCCAAAGAAGCAGGGGTAGAAAACAGCATTACTGGAGTCCAGCAAGAGCTAGGACTGTGGAAGGGGCCTCTAGACAGGAGTCTTTGTTGTGGAGGGATGCAGCTACTGCCACACAACAGCAGCAAAGCAGTGAGGGAGCAGGAAGAAACACCCCAACCCAACCTCTCTCCACCAGCAATACCTTCCATTGGTGACCCCCACCGGCAGCCAGTAAGGTAACTGGGGGAACCCTGTCTGCAGGGATTCACCTCCCAGAGCACACCACAACGCAGAGAAGAATGGATCTGAGGAAACCAAAGACAATGTAAACAGGGCAAGGCACTGTGGTAACCACAAGAACTATCCCTTCTAACTGGATATGGCTGCCCTACTCACCAGATACATTTGCACAAGCCAGAAACTCATGTTCTTGGGGTGAGCTACCTTCTTGTATGGACAAGCGCTAGGCCTGCCTGGGCCCCCCGGATGCACATTTTCTAGGGGGCACACAGTGAGGACTAACAACCAAATGTCACGCTGTAAATTCGCCTTAACCATCAAAGGCTGATTTAACCATGATTCAGTCTCAACCAAGTGCTGAGTCAATCTCAGAATATCTCCAGGAACTTCAATAGTCTCCTAAACTGGTATTAAATATAATGGCTCAGCTCAAATTGCAAAAGTCTGAATGGACATCAGAAAGCCTAAACTTCAATCAATTCTAGAAAGTGACTCACTCATCCACCTAAAGATAAGTGAACGTACTTCCAGCTATCTCTACTGACAAGTTAACTCCATGCAAAGTTTCCATATGGCAAGATCCTTAACTTACACAGTGAGTACTTAGTTTTCAGGGCAAAGCTTTAGTTATCAAAAGTACAAAATTCTTCTGCCAATGAAGAGAGAGAGAGAGAGAAAGAAGCTGATAATAGATGCTCAGAAAACTGGCAAACTTTCCTCTACCACCAACTTACATATGTCCAAGTTACTATGCTGAGGAAACCTCCCTTTTCTTAGGTCATCAGACTCTCCCAAATATCATCATAAGGACCGTAAGAGTGCCTTAAAATGTGTTTACAATTACTTATTTACCTAAGGTAAATCTACCAGAACAAATTAGTCACCACCAATGACTGCTAAACATGCAGACTCACTTTTTTCTACAATCTTTAACTTCTGGAAGCTTTCCAGCACCTCCCCATTTAGTATTCTGGGTAAGAAATCCCGTATTTGCATCACTTCAGTTGTCAGCCGTTCCAGGTCCTTCTTTCTGACTTTAACAAATTCCTCTTTGGTTCCCATGTGCTAAAAGAACAAGCAGATCTTATTATATTTCTCTTCATATGAAAAAAAAAAAAAAAAAAAAAAAACAGCCCAAGTCAACTTGTTTCCTTTTCTTTTATGCCTCTTATGTTCATAATTGTTTCAAATCATTCTTTTCAAATCATGTTCTGCTATATTTTTATGTATATATAAACATTCTGAAAGCTGAAGCTTGGGCCTTCAAAAAGGGGGCAGATGTCAAAAATAAGTGCAAACAGGCCAGACATGGTGACTCACACTTGAAATCCCAGGACTTTGGGAGGCCAGGAGTTCAAGACCAGCCTGAGCAACAGAGAGAGACCCTGTCTACAAAAATATGAAAACACGGCCAGAGGCCGAGTGCGGTGGCTTATGCCTGTAATCCCAGCACTACGGAAGGCCGAGGCGGGTGGATCACCCGAGGTCAGAGTTCGAGACCAGCCTGACCAATATGGTGAAACTCCACCTCTACTAAAACTACAAAAACTAGTCAAGCGTGGTGGACGCCTGTAATCACAGCTGCTCAGGAGGCTCAGGTGGGAAGGCAGCTTGAGCCCAGGAGTTGGAGACTGCAGTGAGCTATGATCGTGCCACTGCATTCCAGCCTGGGCAACAGAGCAAGACCACGAAAAAGAAAATGCAAACATGAGCTGTATTCCTAAAAGTCAAAGAAAACACCTGCAACTTTTTAGCATTGCAGCACCCAACTGATCAGGAGGAAAAGGAAGCCATCTGTAATGGTTTCCTACTGGGGGTGCCAAGCCCTCTGCGGGTGATCGCATCTACTATTCACCCCAAGCCTCCAGGATTGTCCCGATGGACATTAAGGCACCAGAGCTAGGTGAGTCTCCACGCAGCACAATTAATACGGGGCAGAAGCAGGATGTGAACACGGATCTGGCCCCAGAGCCCAAGCACCTTCTCCATCGCACTCAGTTACAGTTACAAAATCAATGGAGGGGCTGGGCGCAGTGGCTCACGCCTGTAATCCCAGCACTTTGGGAGGCCGAGGCGGGCGGATCACGAAGTCAGGAGATCGAGACCATCCTGGCCAACATGGTAAAACCCCGTCTCTACTAAAAATACAAAAATTGGCCAGGTGTGGTAGTGCACACCTGTAGTCCCAGCTACTCGGGAGGCTGAGGCAGGAGAATCACTTGAACCCGGGAGGGGGAGGCTGCAGGGAACCGAGATCGCGCCACTGCACTCCAGCCTGGCTACAGAGCGAGACTCCATCTCAAAAAACAAATTTAAAAAATTCGGTGGAGGGCAGATTCTCTCTAAGCCTGACGCTGAGTCCTGGAGCAGGCCTTTGGAGGAAAACGGTGCTTCCACGAGGCAGCAAGCAGAGTGACCATCCATCCCACGCTCCCACGCCCGCTTTGGCGCCACTCAGCGCCCCACCGCGCGCAGCCTCGCAGACCCGGCCCCCGCGTGCGTTTGGAGGCGAAGTCGCCTCGCGCCCAGGCCTCCACCCCATCCTGGCCCAGCCCACGCTGTCCGGGGATCAGGTCTCCAGGCCTCCCCAAGCACGCGACAGCGGGCCCTCTGCGAGCGCAGTGGGCGAGGCTCTGAAGGCTGCGAATGGCCGGGGCCTCCTCAGGGACCCAGCTGACCTCCTCAGCGCCGCTCGCTTCGCCCATGGCCGCCACCCCCTTCGCTACGTTCGCTTGCGCGACGGCGGCGCGACCTCTGACCCCTCACGCCAGAAAGCGCGGGAACGTGTCCACGGGGGTCTGGAACGGAGAGTCGCGAGGCTCAAACCTCGCAGAAATTGCGCTGCATTCTCCGCCTAGAGGGCGGGGAACGGCCTTGGTGAGCACCGCTTTGGCTCTTCCGGCTTAGCCCGGGTTTAAAACTAGTTATCTGCGAAGCAGAAGGAAAGTCGGCCCCTGGTGTAAGCGTCAAGTAAAAGAAATCGGAAGGGCCTTTTTCTGTTTGGCGAGGAGTGCTGCCCTCAGGGGGACTGCGTTGAAACTGGCAGTCCTGCCTGGAAACTCGCCTCCGCGGCCCGCCTTCCCTCGCTGGGATTCAGGCGCTTTCATGTTAAGGGTTGAATTTGGCAACAGGCACCGCGGGAGGTCGCCCAGATAACTGAGCGGGGACAACAGACATAACCGCCCGCTACGCGTGGAGTCATCTGGGCCATTAACTTGTCCCAGCACGCCCGCCGAGCGCGCAAACTATAGGATGGCCTCGGGTTACACATGAACCCAAAGCTGATTTCTTCCCGCTCTCAAGCAGCCCGCCCTGCCCAGCTCGCCGCGAAGCGCGCGTGCTCTCCAGGCCTCGGGACGCCGGCGCGGGCGCCCCTGCACTGGCACCAGGGCTCCGGGGTAGGGGCGCGCCGAGCTGCCCGAGCCTCCGCTGGCGCTGGCGAAAGGAACGCCCTCCACCCGCTCAGCAGGCCCCAGTGCCGGCCTTTCCTTCTAGTCTCAACTCCACCCGGGGGACCCGGAAGCTCCGCAGTTAAAAACTTCGTGCCACGGAGATCGCAGGAGAGCTGCTGGCTCAACGGGGTGTGCTAAATGGGACTAAAGATCCTGGACCGTGGCCGGGCGCGGTGGCTCAAACCTGTACTCCCAGCGCTCAGAGAGGCCGAGGCGGGAGGATCGCTGGAGGCTACGAGTTTGAGGCCAGCCTGGGCAACATAGCGAGACCCCGTCTTTGTAAAAGATAATAAAAATTAGCGGGGCGTGATGGCGCGCGCCTGTAGTCTCAGCTACTCGGGCGGTCGAGATGGGAGGATCGCTTGAGTCTGGGAGGTCGAGGCTGCAGTGAGCCGAGATCGCGCCACTGCACTCCAGCATGGGCGACATAGCGAGACCTTGTCTCAAACAAATAAAATTTCCTAGACCGTTTACAAACAGCCGTCCGTCTCTTGGCCAAGTCCTAACCCTGGCTAACTTCGCCGTCTACAGCCTCAATTCTGGCAATCGACAGGCAGCGCCGGCGCCACGCATACGCGGGATGGGCCGCTATGACTACTGCCAGGGCCAGGGCCGCGCTCCCTCGCAGGGCGCGCTGCGAGCGCCGGCGCCTTTGTGACGCCATCAGCCCGCGCGCCACCGCCACCTACTGCGCAGTCGCGGCTCGGGCGGACGGCGACGGCTCCGCGGTGCTCGGTTGGCGGCAGCGGCACTGTGGGTTGCGCGGCCGGGGATGCTCCAGCGGGCGCGATGGCCCCCGCCATGCAGCCGGCCGAGATCCAGTTTGCCCAGCGGCTGGCGTCCAGTGAGAAGGGCATCCGGGACCGGGCGGTGAAGAAGCTGCGCCAGTACATCAGCGTGAAGACGCAGAGGGAGACAGGTGGGCGCACGGCGGCGGTCAGCCGCGCCACATGGCGGGCCGGAGGCAGGGGCCGGGGCTGGGGCTGGGGCCGGGGCCGCGGCACGGAGCGCGGCTTCCACGCGTTGTCGTGACACCCAGAGCGTCCTCCGGTTTCCGCGCTGCCAGAACTGCTTCGTGCTATGTCTAGTGCCTTTTTACAGTTGAGGAAACAGGTTGAGGGGGTTCCGTTACTTGTGAAAGTCACGGTGAGCGGGGAAGCTGAGAAAAGACCCACATGGGTCGGATTCCCTGGCTGGCATCTCGCATCCCTGGGCTGCCCCGATTTGCCCTGGTGTCCGGTCGGTGATTCCCGCCTTTCTTTGACCAGCACCTTTACGTGCCGGGGCTGCAGGAGAGAAGACAGAATCCCTACTCTGGAGGATCTGTTAGTAATAAAGCAAGGAGATAAACAGGCTAATAAAGTAGACCTTGTGTTAGTGTAGTAAAGGAAATGAAAACCAGGTAGTAGGCCGGAAGTGGTGGCTCATACCTGTAATCCCAGCACTTTGGGAGGCCGAGGCGAGCGGATCACCTGAGATTAGGGGTTCGAGACCAGCTTGACCAACTTGGTGAAACCTCGTCTCTACCAAAAATACAAAAATTAGCCGGGCGCAGTGGCGCGGGCCTGTAGCCTCAGCTTCTCGGGAGGCTGAGGCAGGAGACTTGCTTGAACCCGAGAGGCCAAGATTGCAGTGAGCCGAGATTGCGCCATTGCTCTGCAGCCTGGGCGATAGAGCAAGAGTTTGTCTTCTAAAAAAAAGAAGAAGAGAGAGAAAGAGAGAAGAAATTAAAAAAAACAGGTAATAGGAAAAAAAAGTGAAGGAGGTTGCTCTTCTTGATAGGCTGTTCTGAGAAGGCCTCACCAGGGTGATGTTCAGCTGAGATCTGAAGAGAGATCAGCAGAAACCGCCTATGCAGAGGCAGGAAGGAGCTTCGCCTCCCCTAGGAGTGGCTGGAAGACCAATAAGCTGGGGAGGGGGAGAGTGTTATGAGATGAAGCTGGAGATGTAGGCAGTGGCCAGATCACACAGCACTGCTGTTGAAGGATTTCATTTACCTGATCCAAAAATATTTTCTGTAAACTCTTGAGTGAGCCCATATGATATGAACTACAATGTGTGATAGAGGTTTTATGCTGTACCAAGATAAAGTTTGATTTAGCTACTGGTGGTATTAATACATTAGAATCTGTTTAAAAGAACAGATATTATCTCCCCACCACTGATATTCTCAGTTTGTTTTATTTTGAAGAGAAATCACCCGACTACCCCAAAAAAGAAAATACACTTTCCTGGGAACTCTGGTGGAAAAAGGAATGGAAACCAAAATTCCTGACTTTGATTCCATTAGGGATCTCCCTAAGAGATTTTTGTTTGCTGGCACACTTCGTGGTACCCCATGTATGCTGGTGGTTTCTAAACCTAAATTGTTGACCCAGCCCTTTCCTGCTTGCAGCTCCAGTGTGCCTTGCTAGCCTGGCATCTCACACTCAGAATGCCAAAAAACGGCCTATTTTCTCCCCAAAGCCTGTTCTTTGCTGCTGCTCCTCTGCCACCTGTTTTCTCTTCTTCTAGTTGCTAGTTTCTACTAGCCACTCAGACTCCAGCTGGACACACAGGATTGTCCTGGACTCCTCTGTCTTCCTCATCCTCTTGCCCTGACCCACATCCAGTGTCCCTCAGCCCTACCTCCTTCACCTCCTGTTGAAATAAATTCTCTGACCTTAGGCCCGTTGCATCTCCCTGGACTACTGCACCTACATGTTCCCTAACTGGTTGCCTTAACTTCATTTGTGTCCCCCCTGAATCTCCTCCACAGACCAGCCCAGAGTCATCTTCCTAAAACAAATCTGATCCCGCATCACCAATATTTTTGAAATCCAGTGTCTGCAAGTCATGATCTGTCCTCAGGTGCTCTTCCTCCTCAGCCCCGTGTGACTGCTTCGTGTTCCATCAGCAGAACCGTTCGTGGTCCTTGGTGTACAACACACGATTTCTCACCTCTCTGGCTTCACTTTTCCTGTTTGCTCTGCAAAGAATCCCATGCCTTCTTCACTCCTGGCATTCAGTTCAATATCACTTCCTCCAAAAAGCCTTCCTAGCATCTCGCCCTATTCCTCTAGGGTTCTAAAACATCTATTGTTTAGAACAAAGATGTTACATCTTTGTTGTAGCACTTAGCTACATTGCTTCTTACTTATCTGTTAATGTGTCATTCTTCTCCGGAGACACTGTAAGCTTCTATCTGTTTTCTTAGCCAGAAGTGGGAGTACATGTAGCCATAAAAAGTCCTGGCCTGTACAAGAGCAGAAAACCAAAAGCAATACTTAGGGGGCTAAGACAGCCTAGGCCGAGAGCCTTTTGCTCAAACTCTTCATTGAGCTGGCCCAGGATTTGCAAATGCTGGGGTTATGCAGAGGCCGAAGACCAGCTTACACCAGTGCCCCAGCGTCCTGTCTGCTTAGTGCCTGTCAACGCCCAGGGTTACCTGTACATCTTGTTCACCACCACATTGCATGGAGGATGTGGGCCTTCAAAAAATAACTGTACTGTGAGCATCATGGACAGTGATAACAGACAAGAAAACAAGGTCTCCGCCACAGCACTGCCACATCACAGTCAAAACACAAATTTGGAAATAACTTGACCTGATATTTGACTCCCGTTGACAGGCTGAAACTTTTTTGCATCTTGTCTTAGGCATTATAAAGGAAATCTGAGATTTCACTCTTCCTGAAACGAGCAGTTCTGCAGCAACATAAATGGATAGCTTTGTAATTTTAAAAATAAGTTGGAAATGTTTGTATTGCTTTAAGTAACAGAATGTTGTGCTCATGCTTTAACCATTCAAGTTGGGTACTCACAGTCATAAAATGATCACTCTGCATGGCTTTCATTCATAAAGCTCATTTGTCCCAATTCATTCATTCATTCACTCATATATTTAGCAAACATTTTTAGAGTGCCAACTGTCTACTACTATGTACGCTATTCTTGGCACTGGGAATACGGCAGTGAAGAAAACAGACGGTCCCTGCCTCTCTTAATCAGTTCTGCAACTTTAAACGTATATACTAAAGTGGGGAGGCATCCTAAAATCCACCTGGTAGCAATTTCATTTGCATCATTGCTTTCTTTTTGGCAACATATAAAATAACAGTACATCTTGTTGTTGACGGTATCTTAGATTCAGTGTAGATGATGGAGGAAATGTTTTTTTTAATAACAATGGGGTTAGGGTTCTCTCTACCCAAGCATTATAATACATAGGCTAAGATGTGGATGTTTTGACACTGGGGTGTGTTCAAGTGTAACACTTAACCCCATCTAAAATGGCTCCTGGGCTCATTGCGTGCTGAGAGTAGCTGTTGGATTTGCTCATTTCAAAACTTACTGATATTTCACATGTCTACATGTCTCACTTTGATGTTCACCTCATTTGTTTTGTGTGTGTGTGTTTCTTGTATTTTTTTGAGAGATGGAGTCTTACTCTGTCGCCCATGCTGGAGTGCAGCGGTGCAATCTCGGCTCACTGCAACCTCCACCTCCCAGGTTCAAGCAATTCTGCTGCATCAGCTTCCCAAGTAGCTGGGACTACAGGCATGCACCACCACGCTCAGCTAATTTTTGTATTTTTTTACTAGATACAGGGTTTCACTATATGTTGGCCAGGCTGGTCTTGAACTCTTGACCTAAAGTGATCCGCCCACCTTGGCCTCCCAAAATGCTGGGATTACAGGCGTGAGCCACTGTACCTGGCCTACCTCATTTGTTTTGAAATATCTAAATCTGGCCGGGCGCGGTGGCTCAAGCCTGTAATCCCAGCACTTTGGGAGGCCGAGGCGGGTGGATCACGAGGTCAAGAGATCGAGACCATCCTGGTCAACATGGTGAAACCCC